ACGCACTTTACTTACGACTTGACTCGATTATCTGTCTCTATTTCTCTCTGTCTGCTATCCAGTTAATTATCTCGCCTTTATTTGCCTCGCTTATATACAAGAATAGAAGGCGTCTAGAATACACTCGCCTCTTCATGAACCTTATCACATGTTACCAGCGTCACGTGACCTCCGCTGTCGTAACACTAGGTTACTTTAGAAAAATAAATAATATTTTATCAAGCACAAGAATACAGTAATTGTGACATTTTTGTATCTTTAACGCTAGAAAGTTTTTTTTTTTATAAAGATAATTGAACTATAGGTAGTCACTTTAAATAATAAAACTTGAGTCAAATGTAAGCCTTGTACCTGCTGCACCGCTTGACTGGGTTAGGGAGGCGATTTCCCCCCTTAAATGAGCAAAACTAAATAGCGTAAGTTACGTTATTATGTTTCATATTAGCTGCTGTAAAAGTGAAACAGTTTCACTTGTTTGCATGCAGAACCAGAGTCCGCTATGTTAATTTGACATCGTTGGTGCGAGGTATACAAACAAATTCTCATTCGACAACTAACTTTATGACGTATGCAAAAATTGTTTGTCCATTTGTTGAATTTCGCGCAAAACTACTAAAGGGCTATCAGTGTTTGCCGTCCCTAATTTTGAAGTGATAAACTAGAGGGAAGGCAGCTAGTCAGCCCACCCACGACAACTCGTAGCTTACTATTTACCAACAAATAATGGTATTGACATTCACATTATAACGCACTTACGTCTGAAAATGACGGGATTCGATACATGTTCGATGATGGGTTTCGACCCCGCGAGCCGCAGAATGCAAGAATGTATTGTAAAGAAAGATGTTTACGCCAGTTTTCTTCGGAAGTTCATCTTTGTAGCTGGTCACGTCCCTGCTGCTTTCCAAAGTTTTTTTACAAAACGGTAGTACTAATCCAGGAGAGAGTGAGACTTATAAATGGTACTGCACAGAATACATTGTAGAATAAGATAGTTCAAAGTGTGGATAAACCTGGTGAATAGTTAGAAATTAATGCATAACTTCAACCCAAAAGTTTGAAACCTATAGATAGGATATAGAAAATTAAAATATTAGATATACAAAAAGGGGGGGGGGATGTAATCATAAACATGTTGTTTTTGCCCACGGAATGAAGTCCAGTTGTCATTAAAAGACTCTTAGTCTTCAGTGGAAGTACACTGTCGCTCTAAGTAGTATCTTGGATAACTGTTTAATTTTATTAATTGTTGAATTGGCTAGGACGCAGCTAATTTAAAATATTATTTAGTTGAAAAACTTAGCAGCTTGAACTTCAAACTTAGAAGATTGAACTCATCATACTTCTCAGCATTTTAAGTATGATTTGCTTTCTGAATAAGTATAAGACCACAGAAAAGCTGGCTTCTAAATTCATATCATGAATACTACTTTAAGAAGCTACACAGTTTACAAAAACCTAGACACGCTTTTGTTCTCGGGAGAAAAAATCGCTTGATGATGTTTTACCAGTTAAAACGAAATGCTATCAGGTATCTAATTCATATAAGAAATTTCAAGTATTTATGATTTGAACTGATAAACAAAGTATGAATAAATCCCCCCCCCAAACCAACGCAAATGTGTAAAGTGTGGTTTCCCATGATGTTCGTGGTGTGAAGTCAATTCAATAGTTTGATTAATGTTAAACCAGTCTTTTAAGCTGCATCTTCCATCTGAAAGATTATTCAACAAATTTAGGCCAATCTGGTTTATCAGGAAATTTTTTCAACAATTAAATTAGTAAAGTGATTTTTAGTAGTGCAACATAATGGACAAAATCATATATTCTCTGCCTGCGCCAGAAAACGAAGTGGTTATCTGAATTATCAATGTTATAGAAAGGTTACCGTATTTGACTTGAATATGTGTTTAAATTGGTTATTATTGGAATGTTTGTTTGTAGTTAAGCACAAATCTAAACAATGGGCTGTCTTTGCTCTGCCCACCACGAGTATCGAAATCAGGTTTCTAGCGTTGTAAGTCCGCAGACAGTGCCACTTGAGGGCGGGGGTGATTGGAATGAATTAAGCTTTAATGTTTGAGATACAGAAAAAAAATCACTTCTTAAGTTCGTAAGAAAATGCAAAAAAAATAAAAAATCCAGGATATTTTTGTGAAATCCTTTTCATGGATAAGGGCAACTTTGATTAATTATACGATTTCTTATTTAGGATCCGAATTTATATTTTTTAGGGAGGGGATAAGCTAGACTGAGCTTTTTAGTGTCATAAATAAATACTCAGGCTAAAATTCAAGGTGAAGTTTTAAATAACTAATCAGTGTGCCGGATGAACTTTGAAGGAATTTAATCAGTTTTATGAACCAGGCCTGAAGAATATATGATCTTCAGATTATTTTCGAAATGTAATATAAAGTTTCAACAGGATTAGGAAAATTATCTGAAACTTACGAACTGAGATTAATATATTTGTAATTTTATCAAAATATTTTGTCCAAAAATAGTCTATTGCATATACGCCTGTTATTATGCAGCTTGGCTTTAATATGTACTCTGTTTTAATTAAAGTAATAACGACAATGTTCATTCGTAGATCAACTGCATAAATCAGGAACTGAATTAACCAGGTAGTGAAGTAAAACCGTGGGGAGTTTATTTAAATAAAAACAAATACAAGTTACAATATTCCTATGTACACAATTATCAAAAGCTGTCTTAGCCTATTTACCTATAAATACATTTTATACTTCATTAACTCTTATGTAGAAATTCGAGTGAATTTTAGAGCTGTATAGTTTTAGTTGAATAATGGAGTTTTCCATGGTGGCCAGAGCGCAGATAGCCTATTGTGTTGGTGTACGCTAAAACAAACAAACAAACAAACTGAAGAGTGGAATTACTGAGAAATCATACCCTTATATATATATATATAATTAACTTACATATAAAGTAGGTTATAACTAGATGTTTGGTTTGGATTGTTTTATTTATGTGTGTAATGTGTATATAATATTTTGTATATGTACCTGTTTTGTCTAGCGGAATGAATTTCATCGATTTAATGGTAAGGCAAGGTGTGATCAACAATTTGCCTAAAACTCCTTTCGTCATGGGGTTTGAATGTGCAGGGAAAGTGGAGGCTGTAGGTGAAGAGGTTACAGAGCTCCAGGTATGGTGCTGCTTTACATTTATAGTATACAGTGTGATGAACGATACATATATATATCTAGAACACTGACACAGTTTGAAAGGGCTATATTTTTTAGTTAATTTCTAAATCATCTTACCTAAATCAAGATATATTTCGTGATAATAGTGAGAAACATTAAAAATACATGGCAAATAGGGATAAAAAACAATTAAAAAATTGAATTTCGAGTAAAATAGCTGTCATTTGTTAGAATTCATTTTTGTTTTTGTTTTTTTGCCTCCTAGGTTAGTTACATATGCATTTACAAAAATTTAGTTTCGTTTTTAAGTTACAGATTTGGAATTCTTGTTGTTTTTAAACGTTTTGTTTATGATAGTACTCGAATTACTGTTTTATATTTTTCGTTTATTTCTGTAGAACAGAAACCTTAGCAGATACACAAGGTTAATTATCTTACATGTAGTTGTTTTGGAAGGCGGCTTTTTTCAAGATCTGTAAAGTATAAAATTAATCGTTCTAGTTTATGCAGGAAAATAGATATATAAATATGAATTATTTTAAAACTTGATTTTCTTCCCAACGCAATGCAGTAAAGAAGTACAGGTGTTTGAATTACTTCTTTAATTAAGCTCTCTTAGTGAAAGTCGTGTATTTGGCATTCGTAGAACTTTCCAGGTTAATCTGTAGAGTAACAAGCCTATTTAATATCGTAACAAATTTATAATGAGTATTTTATGACTGCAAAATAAATTTGAGATAATTAGATATACAAGTCATACAATTAATCGATAAAAAAATCAGTTTTTCGTCTCAGTGAGCTATTGAAGTAGTCCAGTCAATAAAATGTGTATTAAAGTTTTTTTGTGTAATGTTAAGCAACATTTTTAGCCAATGTAAACATTATTGAATACTTTGAGCAGTTAATGTGACGATCTAAATACACCTGCCCTGCAATTTCTCGAGATTTAACAATCTTCTGTCGAGTAATTCATAAATATATTCAGAATGGTACCATCATGTGCTAAGGCTTTTCTTTTCTAATTACTTCATACATTACCTTGATACCATATACTTTCTGAAATAGTTTCTGCTAAGAAAATGTGTAATTAGGAAAAAGTTTGATCCGACTGTCAAAATGACTTTCTTTTTATGTTTGTTTTGTTGAAATATAATGCCCCTGGTGGTTCAGCGAACCATTGTTTGTTTGTTTGTAATTAAGCACAAAGCTACACAATGGGTTATCTGTGCATTGCCCTCCAAGT